CTACACATTCTGTGATGTCTAATTTGCCACAGATGTCAACAAGTGACATCTCATATTTTTCTACAAAGAGGGAAGTAATCCTTGATTTTTGCTTTATATATTTGTCTGCTCTTTGTCTTTTCCCCATGCCATGAATTCCTCGGGAAATTACATTAGGGCTAAGTCTGAGTAATATTAATACCATTCACTTAAACTGTTCTAATTCTTCACTCAAACTCAAGCTTTTGTCTTCTCCCATCATTGACTTCAGTCCTGGCAATGCTGATATAGCAGGACTAGCTGTGTGTCTCCATAGTCACACAAGTGAGTCACTAAGTCCTTCTTAGCTACCACTTCCATACTTGTGATAGGGAAGACCGCATTTCATTACCTTCTGGGTCAAAGATATATTAATCAGAAACAGATAGTAGAGATGAGGAACCCAGTAATTCATACATAAATACATACAAAAAACCCTGCAACAGTTGTGATGCTCAATGCTCAGATCACGTAGGAATGTTGTATGCTGTAAACTGCAGTATTACAACTAGAGTCAGCACTATTATGAAAGCTCCAAAGTCATCATATATGTCTTTAAATCCATCTCACCTTTACCATTTTAAGAGGAATGTCATACGAACTTCCACAGATCCTTTTTTTCAAAGAGGTGCACCAATGACACCAGAGGTGCTAGAACACAAAAATAATTCATCTGATCAAGATAACTCCTTAAATAGAGAATAACTAGTTCTGTGAATGAGACCCTTCACTTGCAAGATCTGCACACAAATCTCCATCTTTTTCCACTATGTCCTTGGATGGTGGACTCTTCCTATGCTTGCCTTTCCAGCCAGCAAGTTTAGTGGCTTCAGCTGAGCATACTGCACAGATACTTCTCTGCATACTTATGAAGTCTCTTTCTTCTGGTCATCACCACTGTTCATCCTTCAGCTCTGTTCCCATCTGTGGTTCTCAGAAACCTGGTAGCTGCAGTGGCTTCTTCTCTTCCCTGACCCAACCTGCCTGCCCTTCTCTCCTGCACCTAAGTGCCTCTTGACCATGAGTGCACAATTCTCCTCTCCCCAGAGCTGTCCCACACTGCAACATCCAGGAATGGGTTTAAAAGCAAACTTTATTCCCATGGCTTAGCCCCACATTTTGTTTTTTAACAAATATGCAATTGACAAATATTTAAGCAGCAAAGTGACCAAACAGATCAAATAATGATACCATCTTTCACCTATTAAGTGTTCAGAGCATATTTAAATTGAGATACTCACTAGCAAATTCCTTTTGTGTTGCTCTCTTCAGTTATGTCAGTATTTGCCTTTAAGACCGTTACAGCCATCAGGCTGTCAGAAGAGTTACTGATGCTGCTAAGATGGCAAGTAGATGCAGCTCTATGTTGTCACTGAAGGAAAAATGTCTTTGCTCAGTAAATCTGTAAGATGACAGTGCAAGGAATCATCAGAGGAAGAAAATATGTCACTTCACAGCAATTTGTACAGGTCACCTCAATTTCTAGTGTAGAGAGAGATGACTGAAAGTGAATGATGGAGAGAACTGGGTAGCATGCCCTACCACGTACCTAGCAATTGCTTGACAATACCTTTACAGTGTTTTACTGATAATTTACTTGATTCACAGCATATCTGACTTTCTTTTAGTCCTGGCTATGCACATGGGTTATTTAATAGCCTGCCACAGACCCAATAGTTACAGAAAGCACTCAACAGGAAAGGTCAGGCATCCTTATCATTAGAAAATATAATTGCATAAGCAGTGGTGTTTCTCTTCTTAATGATAAATCTAGTGCTTCAGACGTGCTACTGGAGCTGAAGCACTGTGATACATTACATAGAGAGGACAGCAAGACCCTCTGGTAACATTTTCAACATTGATACAAAAAATGCTCATAAAAAGCAGTTAATTATCTGTGGAGCTTAGCTGTTGCTTACAAAGACATTGATGTATTATGGTAGCCCCAGCAGTGTCCTTGTGTACAAAACATTTATTTAGCCCATTATTGACTTAAAGCATCATGAACACAAGTTAAAAGTGTACAAAGAAGGAAAATGATTACTTTTGCTTATTTTGTAGCCAAAAGCTGGGTCTCTTGGATCGGGTTCGTGGTACCAATACTAAAGGAAAGCTATTTACCCCTCTGAATGTAGATGCCATTGAAGAAAGTCCTTCAAAAGAGACTAAGAATGTTGTCTTGAATAATAAGGAGCGTTTTCGCACTGCATTCCGAATGAAAGCATACGCTTTTTGGCAAAGCTCAGAAGGTAGCCCATCTGTGTTGATTTCTTTCTATCCATCCCCTATTCCCCCCATTTTACTTTGTTCCTCTGCATCTTCTGTTGAAAGTTTGTGACTTTCTGGGCCAAGCATGGCAGTTGTCTGGTTTTACATGGAACATTTGGGGAAGCTCCAGCAAATGAATGCTGGAGTCCAGGCAACACAGTGCTTGAAATAAAACAATGACCCTCCAAAAAAACATCAATCAATATAGGATATCGCCAGTGGTGTAATCAGCCTGTTTGACCTGGAACAGGAAGGCACACTGAACAGTGATGTTATGCTAAGGGAGTTCCCTCCTAGACTACATCCAACCCCTCACTAGCCTTTGTCCAGGCATCTCAAATATTTCCTAACTGCAATCTCTTAAAATCTTGTTTTAAAGAGCCAACAGCTGCTTCCTTCCCACTCTCTCTAAGACGGCTGCCCCTCAGCAGATTTTCATTGGGTGTCCATGCAGCATCTTAGGGCATTTTTCCTCTCAGCTTCCCTGGGCACACATTTTCTTCTTAATTGTGTGTAAATGGTCTTTAAATAACAGATTCTCCTTAATTGTGCCAACTGGCATCGTTGCATGCCAGAAAGGCTACCATGGATGTAGTCTGAGTGTCCACACTGGGAACTTGATTAACCTTTTCCACAAAGCTACACGAACTCCAAGTAGTACAAGTGGGAGGAGAACTTGGCCTGTAGCTTCTACAGCTGTTCTAGCCTTATGTAAAATAATTTTGGCAAACATTTATCATTGCAAAAGCTCCTAAAAGTGGGAACTTCTAAATCCATTTGAAAGGAAGGAAAGTCCCCAAGTTTCAGAAGGGCTGGAATCTGAGATCCAATCCCCAAACAATGCATCTTACAGCTGTCCCAGCAGAATTAAGAAATCCCTTTCAAGAACCAACCAGAGAAAGAGGAACCTGCAAGAGATGTTCCTTTACTAAATTATGCCTACTTTATGTAGTGCTTTAGTTAGCCAGAACTCCTTCTAAACATGTTCACACAGCTTTTTTTGACCTGCTTTGCAGATGCAGGAACTGGGGAACCTATGGCAGAAGAGAGAGGCGACAGTAGCGACTTCCTTATGGAAGATATGATCCCCACATTCAAGACAGCCATCCGAGCTGTCAGGTAAAGGTCTCTAATGCTCCTCAATGTTTTGATTTGACTTTGAATCGTTATGCCTCAAGAAGTCACAATACTATGTTGCTACATGTGCATTCATTATTGCTGTTATTACTTTTTAAAAACGTGATAGATCAAATAATTGTAATTATATTGAAAAGAACAAGACAGACCCTATTTAAAGTCTTCTTTGAAAATACAGAGAAAGGAAAATGTTCTTCAGTAACATTGACCGTGCCATTTTTGTGAGATACTCTATATATTTATTACAAAATTACATTCTATATAATTCCTCATTATAATATGCTATAAATATAGTATCTTGCTCAATTTAGTGACTGTAGTATTTATGTAAAACTGGAATTTTCACTTAACAATAAGCTCTGAGCTGACTCAACTCTTTTTTATTCACAATTTTATGTGTGCAATGTATTTTTCAGCTGTCATTTTTTAATAGATTATGAGGTCTCCTTCTCAGCACTCTTCAGCTTGTGATATGTCATCTATATTTTCATATCACAAGAGATATTCTCTAGGGTTAGAAAACTCCTAGTAAGGCTTGATAGCGTATTTAGCACATAGAATTAATTCACTGATGCTCTGTTGCTCCTCCACTCATTATTTTTACTCTCTTCCCTTGAAAAATGCCCCCATAGGAAAATACTGTCCTTTCATTGCAGTTGCTTTTTATTCCAGAAGGTGTTAAGTTTTGGGCCAGGGAGTTACTGGCAAATCTGGAGTGTCCCAAAATTATCTTCTTAGAAAACCTTCAAGGAAGATATAAGTATACAAATGTATACTTATATGCATATAACCTTAATATATATTCTCCTGGTTCTTTTCCAGTTGAGTGCAAGAGAACCAGTCATTAAAAAATTCCAAGTTTTCTCAAGCCTGCTGAAAGCCATGTCCCACAGGCTTTGCTCATGTTACCCAGGACTGCTTCCCTCCCTCTGGAAGTTTCTTCATTCCTACTTCCTCCACAGTTTTCCTTTCTTTACTTGATACCTGCTTGCTTTCAAGCACAGACTATACAGCTGTCCTGTTTTCCAGCCCCACCTCCATGAAACATGCTATTATTACTTTTGCAAAACTTCCTTTCCCACATCCTGTGCAAATCTAATTGATTAATGCAATTTCCCTTTAAATTTGATCATGACCCAGGGGGGGTTTTGTTTCTTTTGTTCTGTCTTTTTCTTGTACAGTTTACCCAGCCCCTGAATGCTAATGGCAAGTAGTTCTTTCAGACAAAACTCTTAATGGGTTTTCAGGGTCATGATCAAGGAGATTTTAAATTGAAATAGCTAACAGTGTGATTCCAATTTTTTAAATTTTTTTTACTATAGTTTTGCTGTTATCATATATAGTTTGGTTATAATAGGAATAGGTATAATTTTGAAATCTTTAAAGATTTATAAGCAACAGAGTGAAAGAGTTGAAAACCCTCAAAAAGTCATAATAGAATTCTCTTTGCTAAATGAAAGTTTATACAGATTATAAAAAGCTTAAAAAACCCCACTAACCTTGAATAAAAACTGGGTTAGAATCTTAACAGATGACAGTAATTCCCCAATTCAGAGCAATAAGAGCATAGAGGCTCTACTTAGAAAGCAAACACTTGGATCCCAAGCCTGAGACAGATTAAAGAAATAAAGTGTTTTTCATTCTTTACATATGTTTCTTGTCTATTTACTTAATGTACCAAGATATAACAGTGGAAATTAATGTATAAACAGAAAAGAATGAAAAAAATAATGCCAAACTGTTTTCTTGTGCTCTGGCTGGCACTGTTCCTTATGATAACAATTATGTTCATAGAATAACAGAATGGTTTGGGTTGGAAGGGCCCTTAAAGATCATCTAGTTCCAACCCCCCCTGCCATCAGCAGGGACACCTTCCACTAGACCAGGTTGCTCAAAGCCTCATCCAACCTGGCCTTAAACACTTCCAGGGAGGGGGCATCCACAGCTTCTCTGGGCAACCTGTTCCAGTGTCTCACCACCCTCACAGGAAAGAATTTCTTCCTAATATCTAATCTAAACCTACCCTCTTCCAGTTTAAACACAACATTAATATGTTATGTTATTATTTACTAGGCAATTGTATTATAAATTACTAGGACAACATTGTTGTTGTTGTTATTATTAATAATAATAATTATTATTATTATTAAATAACATACAATAATGTTATACTGCTGTTTTTTTCAAGGACACTTCAGACAGTTCTAACACTTTTTCTTTTCTCCACAAGTTGAACTGCTGCTCACTTCTTAGCTTCCACATTTCTATCTAATTAACATTTCCCATTTGAAACTTTCCCAGGTGCAAAATGAAAACCAAGCTGAAAATGATTCAGCATTATAGATACAGTAAATTAGCTTTATAATAGGCTGAAGCATAAAAGAAGCAGCTTCAGCTTCACAGCTTCAAAATCTCCTGTGACTTGTGTTGTTCAAAATCAAATTCCACATATAATCTGGTAGCTTTGAAACATTTCTAGTTATTATGATAGTGCTGAAAAAAGCATTTTATGTGTATACTTCGTTTTAGCCTATTAATTATGAAATACCAGCTCTTATGTCTTTGCACATGTGGTATGATATTAGAGATTATATGCTTATGTTTTATTGCCTTGTTTTGAAATAACATGCTCAATTTCCAGACATCCAGAGTATTTATCAATTATTCAGTAAAAGTGCAAATAATCATTATGGAATTTATATAATAACTTGGTAATTTTTCTCTTTATCATTTAGAATACTACAGTTTCGTCTGTATAAAAAAAAATTCAAGGAGACTTTGAGGCCTTATGATGTAAAGGATGTGATAGAGCAATATTCAGCAGGGCATCTTGATATGCTTTCCAGAATAAAATACCTTCAGACAAGGTAAGAATCCTCTGGTAAATAGGGAAAATACATAGCTGTGCTAGCAAAATAAAACCATAGCTGGCTTATTTCTGTTCAAGGCTACCCAAAAGCTATGTCTTTTCATAGCATGGCTAGTCAATAAGAAAGCTTTTTCCCCAAAGAATAAAGCAAGTGAGGAGAGAGCAGGGGTAACTGCAGCAGAAGAGACCACTGGCTCATATTTAGAACAAGGAATCGGAGTAAAAAATCCCGTGAATCTTCTTGACCATTGCCTTATTTGTTTAGGGTCACGTTTTTCCCCTTCTCCCCTTTTATACAAATGATAAATAAAAGCAATAATTGCTCTACATGAGCTTTTCTTTGTGCTGGATTTTCTGCTGACCTGTGCCTGGTGAAACATCTCATACAACTTCAAAAATACATCAGCACAGAAGAGAAGGTTTTATGTCCCCTTCACTCGCGTGTAAATTGAGTGATATGAAAAAAAAAAAAAAAAAAAAAAAAGGAATTTCAGGCCTTTGTGACTGTTCAGGTGCAATCTACTCCCACAGTCATTTCCTCATAGAAGTGGTTCATCCTGATGTGCTTTTGTGACATATCTGCAAAAATTTGTGATGCTTGCATCCTGAACTATGGGCACAGGTCAGAGCTTGAGCTAGAAAACTTGTCTGGGTTTGGGTGCATGTGTGTATATATGCATGTAGCTGTATTAGTTCAGTCTCAGCACAGCGCTGTCCACATTCCCTGATCCCCTCCAGTCACTCTGAACAGCAAAATGCCAAGCAGACGTAACCTTAATTTCTCTCAAGAATGGGATGAGCAAGTTAAACTCTTGCTGCACGTTTGAACCTTATGAAGGCTTACCTTGACTTTGTAAAGTTGCTCTGGTTGAACTTTGTACTTTCTTATTTCAAAGTGCTTTTCCATCTACTGGGCTATCTCATTTTCAAGTACATAACATGTCTAGTTCCTACCTCTTTATTACTGCTCTAGAAAAGCTGCTCTCTCTAATTATATAACACAAAAGACCATTGTTACTCTATGAAATGAGCTCTGCATCACATGAGCTTAGATTTCAATGCAGTAATATCTTTTTGAAATCAGAATGTTGGGGAGGGCTCATGATGTTAGAAATTTGCACCTATCTATGGTGGAGTCTACAGACTTTATACTGAAGATCATTCCTTTACCTCAGACTGAGGTGTTGTGTGATTTTTAACAGCAGAGCACCTATCAGATATTTGCTTGAGTCTTAGCAGCAGAAAAGGTGTCTGACACAATTAGGCCCATCTCACACAGTGGTTATGGTGAGTCAGGGTGAGGATCACAGCCTCAGCCCTGCAATGTTCAGCTCAGCAATGCCATGCAATGTTCAGCTCAGCAATGCAGGAGCGCGGCGAACAGGACGGGCAAACAG